CTGTCCTTCTTAATGGGTGACTTTCATCTTCATGATCATGAGAGAGTTTCTCTCCCACAGCTTTCAGAGTCCATCTTGCGAGCAGAAAGAAGAGGAAAGCAGCACTGAAGAACGGATGGCGTCTGCAGCAGGGAGGTGAGATTTTCTCAGAAGTCTCTGGCAGACTTCTCTTATCTCATTGGCCAGATTATGCCACATGACCACACCTAGCTGCAAAGGAAGCTGGTCATTTGTTGGCTTTTTTTCTTTGTCTATTCATTGCACAGGAAATTTTACCACTATTTCTAACTGTTTCACAATTTTGTAACATCATGCCTAACTGGAGAAGTGGATTTTGTTTGTTTTTATTAGTGTTGGTTTTAAAACTTTGGAATCATGCCACATTAAACAAAATCTCAGGAGTTTATATGGTAAGGAACAAGGGGGAGAATGCATTGGGGGGGGGGCAACTAGTGATATCCTGTTTCACAAGTTGTCCCAAGGATTACAGTTTTGCGAAGTGTCTGAAATGGTGCTGGCAGCACACAGTAGGCACTTGGCCAATGACAGTGCCAGTGAAGATGATGGCAATGATGATGGTGATGATGATGGTTATGATGATGAAAACGACAGTGAATGATCACCTCTCCTCTCCTCCTCTCCTCTCCTGATCATGATCATGAGGTGATGATCAGGAGGATGAGGATGAAGAGAATGGTGAAAATGATGCTGAGGATGATGATGATGATGGTGATGATGATGGTGGAGATAATGAGAATGTTGATGAAGATGGTGGTGATAATCATGATGGTGATAATGATGGTGAGGATGATGATGAAGATGATGGTGATCTTGATGAGGATGTTGATGAAGATGATGGTGATAATCATGATGGTGAGGATGATGAAGATGGTGATCTTGATGAAGAGGATGGTGATGATGATGGTGGAGATGATGAGGATGTTGATGAAGATGGTGGTGATAATCATGATGGTGAACATGATGGTGAGGATGATGAAGGCATATGGGAATAAAAATTTTCAGTAGAATAAGACTCTTGATTAACCAGATTTCACCAGGATGACAATAATGGCCAGTAATTAGCTTACACTTATGGAGTGCTCCCTGTGTGCCTGGTGTTTTGCAGGTGTTATCTTCCTAAATCTTCGTGAGTCTCCCAACCTTCATTAAGGCACATTCTTTGGGGCTAACTCCACCTCTGGCTCTAGAGAAGGGGCAGATAGCTCAGGCCTGATATGACCAGTGTAGTCTCATCCCCTAGACTGTGATGGATTCAGCAATGACCACATGAGCTTTGCAGATTGGACCAATGAACCCCAAGGAAGATTTTAATGGAAGCTTCTAGGAAAAGAGTTTTCTTATCTTCTGTGGGGATTTCCAGAAGTGATGCATGCTTGCCTTCTCGATATAAGGATATTTCTAACTTATGTACTGGTTGGCAACCACATTATAATTTGATGTCATGATGAAGCCAATACTGCCTAGAAGTGGAAATGTACAGGGTGCTGTCTCTGTTTGCTTCAGGCTTTATGTTCTTTGCATCCACATGCACCCCAGCTGGTTCAGGTTGCTACTATTATCAGCCTCATTTTACAGAGGGGAAAACTGAGGTTCAGGGAGGTCAGGGGTACATAACTAATAAGGGGTGAACCTGAGGTTTGCCCTTAGGAAGCTGGATGTCAAACCTTAGAGCATAATCACTCATTTGTACCAAAATAATGTGTTACTGGTGGAGGTTTCAAAGTCCTCAACTCCAGAATAACTCTGGTTTTTAAGTCTTTCTTCTGGAGTTCTCTCTTCCAGAATCACTAACATCTTCTATCCCAATTTAGGCTCAACCCCAGGATCCATACAGACAGCAATGGGGCCTTTAGTCTTGCCTCTGTATTTCCAGAAGTCTAATGAAAGCCCCTGTGTTTTTACAGAGCAAGATGCCACTCCGCCTAATTAGAATACAGAGCCTCATTAGATTCCTTGAGCTGGAATCAGGTCCACTCCATGGAAAACGCTGCTTAGCTCTGGCTAGTGGAAGAGCCAATTGCCTAATGTACATATTTGATTAATAAGAATAATTTTGGTTGGGTGCAATAGCCCCTGCCTGTAATACCAGCACTTTGGGAGGCCAAGGTGGGAGGATCACTTGAGCCCAGGAATTTGAGACTGGCTTGGTGCAACATGGCAAGATCCTGTCTCTCAAAAAAAATAATAATAATTAGCCAGGTATGGTGGTACACACCTGTGGTCTCACCTACTCAGGAGGCTGAGACAGGAGGATTACTTGAGCTCAGGAGGTTGAGGCTGCAGTGAGCAATGACTGCACCACTGTCCTCCAGCCTGGGCAACAGAGCAAGACCCTGTCTCAGCAATAATAATAATATTTTTTAAAGAATATATTATTTCTTAATAAATGTAACTTAGTAAACAACATTTCTGGAAGAACCAAATTCATGAGAACACGACGAAGGGGGCGTTTTCTTCACCCCTCCTGAGTGTGGATGCCACCTCTGACGTCCCTCAGTTCTCAGACCCAGGCTTGTTTGATGATTCCCAGGGTCTCAAGATATCCCTCCATGCCAGGTCATCCAAGAACAAGAGTTGAGCAGAAAACAGCTTCTGTTCAGCACGAGAGGAATGCTGGTGGACCTCTTCCCCAAAATGGAGAAAAAAAAAAAAACAAAGAAGTTAATAGGTGATAAAACCAAAATCTTGCTCAGAGATTGTTTAGAAACCACTGGATGGGAGGTGGTGGTGGCTGAACTTAGAATGGAAGCTCTGCAAGATTTCTGTCCGAAGCTGCTGGAGAAAGTTGCTGGGAGCCAGTCCAGGTGCTAGAGGAGCAGAGAAGGCTCATTCCAGGTGAACTCCAGTCCAGTAGGAGACAGTGGGGTGAGCTGTCTCCAAAAGGGACAGACATGGGAGGAGCGAGAGAGAAGGTGGCAGGGAAGCTTCATGAAAGGAGACAGGCTGTCCTAGGAGGGTTCTGTGCTCAGAGGAGAGAAGTGTCAGAAAGCCTCTCCTCTCTCAGCCTCTGCCTCTCCCTTCCTTCCTGCCTTCCTCCCTCTCCCTCCCTCTTTCGCTCTCCTCTCCCCCTCCCTCCTTTTCTTCCCTCTCCCTCCCTGTCTCCCTCCTTCCCTCTCTCTCAATCTCTCCCATCCCTCTCTCTCCTCTCTCCTCTCTCCCGCCATCTCCCTCTCTTTCCTCGATTCCTCCCTCCCGCTCCCTTTCTGCTTTCTCTCCCTCCCTCCTCTCTCTTCTCTCTCCCCTCCCCTTTCTCATCTCCCCTCTCCCCCTCCCTCCATGAAAGTGGTAAACTCTAACCTAAGCTTTGCTTCTGATAAATCAAGGGTTCAGGTATGGTTTCCAGAAACAGTCAATACAAATATTTATAGGTATTTGTTGTTTATTTGATTTAATTGCGTGAACCTCAGCCCAGGGAGCTCTGACCTGCCACAGACACCTCACCTCCCATTTCCTTGGTTGGTCGCTCCCCAGACACTATGGGATAGATATGTGTGCCTGCTTAGGACATGACAGAAACACGAAACAGAACAGACAGGAACTCAGCCCTGTGAACAGTCAGCATGGTGGGGATTCGATTCATTCTGTGCCTCCGTAAAAAAAAACAACCAATATAGGCCCCAAAGAGTGTAAAGATAAGGCTTGAACACCGTCTTCTGAAGAGACTTCCCATTGCTAGCGCAGGCTCTCATGATGGTGGTTGTGGACTACCAGCCCTCCCTACTCCATCCCTGGGGCTCCCCACTCTCCTCTCATCCTCCTCCAGCTTCCCCCCCACCCCCACCCCCCTCCCACCCACCAGCACCACAGGTTTTTTTCCCACCTTAGCGCCTGGTTTAAAATTGCAGTCCTTCACTGCAAACTGTTGACGTCCTGCTAGGGACCCTACCCTTCTAGAATCATCAAGGCTGCATTCTCACAACTGACTTCGCCTGCCCTCCCCAGCAAGACGTGGAAGGAAGATAGAGGTGGTCCCAGCCCTGCAAGCCAGTGCCCCAGGTGAGGCTGCAGGGCACAGCAGAATGGGGCTTGCACTGAAGACAGGCTTTTCTACCCTGTCTTTTTCATGCAGCAGTCACCAAGTGCTCTTTGCAAACTCAACCCTTAACGGTTTACTAGGGCAAGGCCATTCATTTCTTTACCCCATCCCTATTATTGAGCATTTACATCATTTCCACTTTTATAGGATTTTGATCTTAAATTCTCAAAGGGAAAGAATAATGGAGTCATGATAGGCCAGGCATGGTGGCTCATGCCTGTAATCCCAGAACTTTGGGAGGCTGAGGCGGGCGGATCACTTGAGGTCAGGAGTTCAAGACCATCCTGACCAACATGGAGAGACCCCATCTCTGCTAAATACAAAGTTAGCTGGGCATAGTGGCACATGCCTGTAGTCCTAACTACTCGGGAGGCTGAGGCAGGAGAACCACTTGAACCCAGGAGGCGGAGGTTGCGGTGAGCCGAGATCATGCCATTGCATGCCGGCCTGGGCAACAAGAACAAAACTCCATCCCAAAAGAGAAGAGAAGAGAAAGGGAGGGGAGGGGAGAATGGAGTCATCATAATTAAGAATTTACAAGCTGTGTGCCCATTTTACCCTTCATGTATTATTGTGGCTTGGCATGTTCAGTGATGAACTGTTTGATTTTAATCAAAAGATACATTTCAATAGGCCATCAGTAGAAAGTCCATAGTTCTAATCTGAAACATAAAGGAAAACTGGGGAGCAAAGGGGAGATCCCAAGCCATGTGACTAGAAACCATTGGCAACATGCAGAGTGGGGTGTGGGAGAAAATTATTTTCTTAAATGTTACCTTCTCAAGCGTAACGTTATTGAGGGACAGTGGTACAGAGAGAACATCCAAGAAAAGAGATACCAGCTTGGGCCACAGGTGGCTCCAATCTGTTCTGACTTGACTCTAGATGTCTCTATCCAAGTCCCATATCTCTCTGTTAAGGTCCTATTTGTGGTGCAAGAGAATGCAAGATGACTCTTCTTAAGGTAGGGGAGACGCTGAGGGCAGAGGAAACGTGCTGTGGCTTAGTTGAACCAAGGGGGACGTTGAACTAAGTTGATAATGGCTCTAGATAAAAACTGGAATCCTATCAAAGGTCAAGACAAGACTAGAAACAGAAAGATAATCAATGGAGGATCAGTGAGCTCAGAGGCCGGAAGGATTCAAGCCAGGATGGCAGGCAGAGTGAGGTGTGGAAGAAGCCTGTGCTTCAGAATGAGTTCTTGGATAGGGAGGGGATCTCAGAGGTCCTTCTGAGTGGAGGAGGTGCTGTCCAGGTTGCAGAGATGAATGTGATAGCTAAAAGGGATCTCTCGAGGCTGGCCACCTTTCCCATGGCACTGAGACTCTGTACGTTTCATCCAGTGGTGGTCTTTCTTTGTTCATACCTTCAAACTATGCTTAAGGTCCTTTCAAATGTCTGACCTGAAATGAACTTGTAGACAAAGTTAACACTGAAGAACCCTGTGACAGAAAACTTTGAAAAGAGTTTACGGATGTCTAGCCTTTTAATGGAAGTCCTCATTTGTACTTCAGCTACTGGTAACGTTTTTATCCGTGAATGGTTTGCTTGGGTTGGAGAGTGAGCTTGACTACAATGTGTGGAGCAAGTTCTAAAGAAGCAAAGGACTCAGACTTCATGCTTGAAGAAATGCAGGCAGACCTGTTATCCCAAAAACTAGGGTTTTTAATGACCACACCAATCAAGCATCCAGTTTACCCCTTGAAAGGGTCTTGCCTCACCAAGGCTGGAGTGCAGTGGCTCTTTGAGGCTTACTACAGCCTCAAACTCCTGGGCTCAAATGATCCTCAGCCTCCCAGAGGACTTTGCAGACAAGCTAATGGAGTCTCGTGGTACAAGAAGATTAAACAGTGTCTCCAATTTCAATAAGTTTCTGCAATCCATCTGGAAAAAAAGATTCTTAAGAGAGCTGTCAGTGATGACCTTGCCCACCTTCCTAACACCACTAGCTTAGTCTCACTCAAGTCTCTCATACACAACTAGAGAACCCTTTCCTTAGATTTAGAAAGGAATATCTTCCAGAGAAAGGATCTCCTCCTCACCTCCTCCACCTGTTCTGAATAACAAATTGAGAAGATAAAAACTAAAGACATTAAAGCCACTTTGGCTGAGCACAGTGGCTCATGCTTGTAATCCCAGCACTTTGGGAGGCCAAGGCGGGCAGATCACCTAAGATCAGAAGTTTGAGGCCAGCCTGACTAACATGGTGAAACCCTGTCTCTACTAAAAAGGCAAAACTAGCCAGGTGTAGTGGCAGGTGACCATAATCCCAGCTACTCAGGAGGCTAGGCAGGAGAATTGCTTGAACCCGGGAGGCAGAGGTTGCAGTCAGTGGAGATCACGCCATTGAACTCCAGGCTGGGCTACAGAATGCGGCTCCATCTTAAAAGAAGAAAGTTAAAAAAAAATTTTTAAAAATTAAAGTCACTTTGCTGACAAGCTATGACTTAGGAGAGCTAAATGTTTGTGAACAGACGGGCACAGGGAAATCCATTTGAGGAAATTATTTCCAAAGTTTACTGTCTATTTATGGCCTTAAAATTTTTATTTTCTCAAATTATAGGAAAAGATTGATCATGGTGAGACAAAAATTTCTTTTGGGAAAGTTGTGAATAATGCGTTTGCTCCAACACGAGGCAACAGAGTGTTGTCTACTTTTGCTGGTAGGCAGGTGGAAGAAGATGAGTCAAGGATAAAGAGTGATGGTGATAGTGGTTTATGCTGCTGACACGTAGTCTTAAAGATTATAATCAGCTCACTCGGGAGCCCTCGAGGGAAGAAAGATCCAAAGGTAGAATGAACACACATGATCTATAAATAGGACACATGCTTGAGAAGCAGTGATCTTATCTGGAGGCAGCCTTGCCTCTGTTATTTCATCGATTCTCCCCACGTTAATGGTGTTGCTGGAGCTTACTATTAATCTAATGACTGTGCTTTGGAATAATAATGCTTCACTCCTGCCCTGTCTCTCCTACTTGACAGACAGCTTGAATTCATCAGAGAAAGGGCCCAAGAGCTGCATCAGTCATTATTAAATAGAAATCAATAAGGTACGTTACATAAAGGAAGCCGCAAGTGTGTGATATGAGGCAGCGTTACCTCTGAGTTCAGAAATCCATTCCTGTTTCTAAGCACCAAAATTTTAGGGGGCTCTGACCCCTGCAAATCTATGCATAAGCTTTGGCCATTAATGCTGCTAAGAGGGTGTTTTAATCCATTTTGTGCTGCTATTACAGATACCTGAGACTTAAAAATTTATAAAGAATGGAAATCTATCAGCTCATGGTTCTAGAGGCTGGGAAGTCCCAAGATCAAAGGTCTGCATCTGATGAGGACTTTCTTGTTGTACCATAACGTGGCAGAAGGCATCACATGGCAAAAGAGGATGAGAGAGATGGGGAGAGGGGGGTAAAATTGCTTTCATAAAAAACCCACTCCCATGATAATAACATTAACTTATTTATGAAGGCAGAGCCCTCATGACATAATCACCTCTTAGAGGTCCTACCTCTCAACATGGTTGCATTGAGCATTACGTTTTCAACACATGGACTTCAGGGGACATATTCAATCCATAGCACAGTTTTTGTGGGTCAGGAATTCATGGGTGACTTGGCTGGGTGATTCTGGCTCATGTCTCATGGGGTTGCAGTCAAGATGCCCGCTGGGCTCCATCACCTGAAGACTCAACTGGGCCAGGAGGATCTATTTCCAAGAAGGCTCCCTCACAAGGCCAGCAAGCTGGAGTGGTTGCTGGCAAGAGACCTCAGTTCCTCACCACATCAGCCTCTCCACAGACTACTTGAGCATCCTTACAACATGGTGGCTGGCTTCGTCCAGTGGGTGAACCAAGAAAGCAAGGGAGAAACTGCAGTCTTTTATGACCTAGCCTTGGAAGCCACACTCCATCTATTTCACAATACCCTATTGCTAAACAGGTCCATCCTATCTGAAGTGGGAGCAGAGCTATGCAAAGGCAGAAATACCATGAGGGAAGGATCCTTGGGGGCCATCTTGGGGCTGCCACTGTGGTTCTCTGTGAGACTTTGCTTGATATTGCGCCCTTCCCTGGCCACCTTCTCTTCCTGGTCCTGCTTACCTACTTTCCAATTGGTTTTGCCTAGGAGCAATTTCTACCAGGGGATTTTCAATTCCACCTGAATTCTCCCCCAAGATCTACTTCTAGAGAACACAGCCTAAGACACACAACATTGATGGGCAGCCCATCCATTCTCTGATTAGCCCTCTGGCTTTCTGCTTGCATGGGAGCACTGCTGTGAGCCTCACCCTCTTTGACTGTGGCCCTGACGTGCTCTTTGGGGACTTCGTTCTCTCATTTGTTTCAAAAGACATTGGCTCGGGTCCTATTAGAATAGAGCCACCACCCAGAACCAGTAATACTTTACCAAACACTCAGCTTACATTACCCCATTTAACATAACTTCCAACTCACCCTTTATAGCAGCTACTATTATTGTCTTTCTTCTACGGGAGAGGAAACTGAGATTTAGACAAATTAAGTAACTTGCACAGGTCTTCATTGCTAGCACCAGACCCATGACTTGGACCCACGTCTGGAAGGTCCAAAGCTCATGACCTCCACCTCCATTGTATCTTCTTTTTGGTCATTCTCTCCACCTGCTGCCAAGCTGTGTCTGCAGGTCCGACCCCCCAAGGACAGAAACAGATGGGGAAGGAGCTGATGTTGACCACAATTCCTGGCACGGCCAGCCATCCAGTCCTGTTTTCTCGCCCATTACTCCTGACTTCCTGCCCCTCCATACCCACAGTGGAAACTCTGGCATCCTTCTGCGCTTCCTGTCTGAACCGACCCAGAGCTGTGGTCACCCTGATCAGGCACATAGATGGAGCGATTAACCCCACCCTTTGCCACATTGCCACCTGGGTTCAGGAAGTCAACATCCCTCATGCCACCAGGCTCCTGGCCTGGCTGTAGCAGATGGAAAGGCCTCTTCTTGGTCAAAAGATTTTGCTCTCCTGAAAATGTGCTTGAGCCTAAGCAGGTTGGCACTTGGGGTTTTTCTTTGAGGACAAGGTCTGAGGGAAGGGGAGACAGGATAATGCGGGAGCTGCTTCAGGGGGTTGTTGGGGAGTGAGCCAAGCCCTCTCCAGTAGGGCAAGTCCAGGCCCTCAGGGGGAGATTAGGGCTTAGAGAAACCAGTCCTGGGGCTGTGGAACCTTCTTGCTTGTAAAACACAATGGCTCCCAGGGCAGCACACTAATTAGCCAGTTGTTCTGCATAAATTTGCCTCTTAATTCAAGAGACTCACACGCCTTGAACGTGTCATAAAGCCAGGTTCAATTTTAGAGTTAAACTCCCAGAAAGGAATAGAACATTCCAGCTCCTCTCATTCTCCCGCCCAGTCATTGCCCTTCTGCTTCCCAATTTCTAATACCATGCATGAGTCAGGCAGGGGTCATGTGTGTGTGGTTTTCTAATTGAACTATAATTAACACTATCCCGTGCACGGATTTTAGGCATTCTGTTCAGTGAGTTCTGATCATTGCATCCTCCCAGGTAGCCTCCACCCAAACAAAACACAGAGCAGCTCTGTCTGATAGCAATGGAGCAAGACCTATACATGTAATTTTAAAGTTTCTAGGAGCCACATTTGGAAAAGTAAAAAGAAACAGGTGAAAATTACGTTAATACTATATTTTTAACCCAGTGTATTTAAAACATCATTTCAATACGAAAAGATCATAAGAAATTTTTCTCTTTTTTTGGTAACAAGTCTGAAACTTTGTACATGTTTTATACTTATAGCACATTTCAATTTGGAGGCTAATTTTTAAAAAAAAATTTATTGCATTTTAGGTTTTGGGGTACATGTGAAGAACATGTGAGATTGTTGCATAGGTACACACACGGCAGTGTGGTTTGCTGCCTTCCTCCCCATCACTTATATCTGGCATTTCCCCCAATGTTGTCCCTCCCTAACTCCCCTCCCTCCACTCTCCCCCACCTATTTCCCCCCGACAGACCTTAGCGTGTGATGTTCCCCTCCCTGTGTCCATGTGTTCTCATTGTTCAACATCTGCCTATGAGTGAGAACATGCAGTGTTTGATTTTCTGTTCTTGTGTCAGCTTGCTGAGAATGATGGTTTCCATGTTCATCCATGTCCCTACAAAGGACATGAACTCATCCTTTTCGATGGCTGCATAATATTCCATGGTGTATATGTGCCACATTTTCCCTGCCCAGTCTATCATCGATGGGCATTTGGGTTGGTTCCAGGTCTTTGCTATTGTAAGCAGTGCCACAATGAACATTCGTGTTCATGTGTCCTTATAATAGAACGATTTATAATCCTTTGGATATATACCCAGTAATGGGATTGCTGGGTCAAATGGAATTTCTATTTCTAGGTCCTTGAGGGATCGCCACACTGTCTTGCATAATGGTTGAGCTAATTTACACTCCCACCAACAGTGTAAAAGTGTTCCTATTTCTCCATATCCTGTCCAGCGTCTGTTGTCTCCAGATTTTTTAATGATCGCCATTCTAACTGGCATGAGATGATATCTCAATGTAGTTTTGATTTGCATTTCTCTGATGACCAGTGATGATGAGCATTTTTTCATGTTTTTTGGCCTCATATATGTCTTCTTTTGAAAAGTGTTCATATCCTTTGCCCACTTTTGCATGGGCTTGTTTGTATTTTTTTGTAAATCTGTTTTAGTTCTTTGTAGATTCTGGATATTAGCCCTTTGTCAGATGGGTAGATTGCAAAAAGGTTTTCCCATTCTGTTGGTTGCTGATTCATTCTAATGACTGTTTCTTTTGCTGTGCAGAAGCTGTGGAGTTTGATTAGGTCCCATTTGTCTGTTTTGGCTTTTGTTGCCAATGCTTTTGGTGT